ATCCTCATATAAATATATTTGCATATGTACATGTCTTTATCTAGACCTCTGTAAATGCCCTTTGGAGAGGCGTATATTTCTTTTTTTTTTTATATATGTTTTATGAAGATTTATTTGTGTTATGTTAAAATCTTATTCCGTGGGTATCCATCCAGCTCGCTGCAAAACAGAAGATTCATGGTTTAGTCACACATCCGGATTTTACCTTAAAAGCTGGTTTGGTGTACACAGAATATCAGATCCCATTATCATCAGAGAGGCGTATATTTCTAACCAAAGTTTTTATATCTTTAAGGAGCAGCACGCCCCCTTGATTACAGGTAACCACATACATAACAGGAAGGAGTTGTACCATAGTCAATACAAGCAATAGGAGGGGGACAATCTAGGGGTGTACACGCAATAGGAAAGGGAGGGAATAGGGGTACACATATGACAAGATAAGCAGACCCTAGATTCAAGATAGCAATCTAACCTTGGTCACCCTTGAGGGGGCTTGACCTTGTCTCTGGGCTCTCCTTCAAGGAAACAATCCACTGTCCTTATCCAAAGGGAGTGGGCCCTACTTAGGGTGGACAGACTATACTGTAGTCTGATTGCTGTAGATGGCTGATAACCCTCAAGGAGATTAACCTCTAAGCAGCTTGCGTTGACCTCCTAGTGTACAGTCACTTAAGGTGTGATGCAAGCAGTGTCCTAGGTTTGGCATACATGTGGGGGAGACAACCTGGGGAAAAACCCTTTTGTATCTCACAGTTTGTCAGTTTGGTGGTTTGCATGTTGCTGTGATGCTGAAAGTTATGTTTCTGGTATTTAAAATGTCAGCAGGATCATCAGTGGTAGGACATAAAACAAAAGTCCTTATAAGTGGACCAATAAGCAACATCATCATTAATGGAGAAAAGATTGTAATTGTCAAGGATTTATTTTACTTGAATGCACAAGCAATGCTCATGGAAGTGGTAGTCAAGAAATTAAATGGTATATTACATTGGACAAATCTGCAAAAGATCTTTCTAAGGTGTTGAAGGGCCAATGTTAGGATATCTAAGGTGCACCTGGTCCATGACATGGTATTTGCCTCGGATGCATGTGAATGCTGGACAGTGAATAAGGAAGACCATTGAAGAACTGATGCGTTTGAAGTCTGACGTTGGCAGTGAATATTGACTATATCATGCTGCTGCTAGAACAAAGAAACCTGCCTTGGAAGACGTCCAGCCAGAGTGCTTCATAGACGGTAGGATGGAAGACTGTCTCACACACTTCGCACCGGTTATCAGTAAAAACCAGTCACCATGCTCAGTAAAGTGGAGGGTCGATACAACCAGCAGGGCCCTCATTGAGGGGTTGACCCAGTGACTGCAACAATTGTCAGAATGGTGCCGGCCTGGTCAGTGTTTTGTTCTGTTGTACATAGAGTGGCTGTGAAGTAGAATGGACTTAATGGCACCTAACGACAATAATCGAAGTAGTAACTCAACACTCAGTAAATATTTACTGTGAGAGTACCTTACTGTGTATTGTAGTCTAGGGCTAGGGACAGAATTGTGATCAATTCAGACAAAATTCCCAATTTTATTTTATTTATTTATTTTGTTTCAACTCTGAGCCTTTATTAATGTAAGGCACCTCCCCAGTAAGCACTTGGCATAAATCTGCTGAATGACCAAATGATTCCCAAGATGAACCAGCTAGAAATCCACATATCAGGCCTCTGGCTGGTTAACCACCTGGGCTGCAAACCGGACAGCTACATTTGGAAATGTTATGCTCAGATAATGATTCCAACACCTCATATTTTCAAGAAATGAGGTCCGTATTTAGCTCCTCCCCCTCCACAATCAGCAGTCAGAGAAGGTTGTATTACTTAGGGAACTAGGAGAAGCAAAGATACCACAGGTGGTGGTGGTGGGGAAATCTATGAAAATTCCCTACAAGCCAAGTGAGGGCCTGGCCATGTTCTTCCCCTAAATACTAAAACAGTGGTTGGGTAGCAACAGCATTCTCTGGCAGCCACCTTACCAGGACATGAGTGTCTCAGCCAGGACGCTCCCTACTCCCCACTAACGATGTGGAAGGGAAAGAATGTCTACAGAAGCAGTGCAAAGTAGGACCGTCCTCGGGAGAGAAGGAAAGAAAGGTGGGAAGGCCCTGACAAACGGCCCTGGGCTTTTGGCTCCGGGTACCCCACAGATATTGAAAGGTAGTTGTATAAAATGTCACTGCACAAGCAGTGTCCCATGTCTCAAGAGTCCCCCTACATGCCACATCAAACCCCCAGATGTACATAGCAGAGCCCAAAGGCCACACTTTGGTGCAAAGGAAAAATGAGAATACGCCCTGTTGTTCTCCAAAGAGAAGGAACCGACAGCTGCTGGGCCTTTCACAAGTAGGCCTGTGTGCTGTAAAGCAACTTCCTAGCAGCAGCATCGCCCATTTCTATGTGAGAGTCCCACCTTTTGTCTCCCGGGCATCAACGTGCGATAGTCTCTGTTCGAGGGATGTCAATTTTTCATTCTTGAGGGACAAGGCATACCACGTGAGTTAAGAAAGTCTGTGTGATCTTGCTGCTGGTGAATACCTCAGTATACTCCCGATTGACCTAGTCCTGCTGACTCCCCCACGGCACTGGGTCCTCTTGTCCCGCCTTGGCATCTGCCTAAGGACGCTCCTAGTTCTGTTTGTTAAACTTTTTATTGAGATGGGTGTGGTCATTGGACTGATTATTTTCATCATTCTTCTTAGCAGGCTTTTAAAAAAATAGTTTTATTGGCATATAATTCACATATCATACAATTGAATAGCGTGATCATTTTAAGAAGAGTTGTGCAGTCATCACCACAGTCAGCCTCAGAACATTTCTTCTTCCTCATACTCATTGTTAGCTCCCCATTTCCCTCACGAGCTTTTAAGAGCCTTGTCACTACTCATCAGAGCAGGATGTAGAACATGGTCTTTGTGAACTATGCTAATGTCAATTGAAGGATTGCTAATTTTCATGGAGCCCGTTTTTATCCTTTCACTAAAAAAGACAGACAACATAAGCAAATGGATCCATAAATGAACAAGATATTAACAGATGATCAAAATTGCTATGAATGACAAGGTGATTTTTTTTTTTAAAAAGGGACCTAGAAGTAAAGGGAAAGGTTCTGTTTTTCACTCAAACTTGAGTAACCTGGAGAAATATGACACTAGAATGAATTGTAAAGAAGGGAGAATATAGAGAATAATATATATTCTGTTTTGGGTGTCTGATTTAGAGATAGGAAGAGGGAGTTTGCGTGGAATTACTACAGGAGAAGTTGGAGCCATTAAGTCTAGAAATACACATTGTAGGGCCGTCTGGGAAGAGGAGAGGCAGTGAGTGGCAGTAAGAGCAGAAAGAACTTGTGAGGAAGGAGCGATAGTCTCTGATGAGAACTGATAGAGGAGATACTAGGTTCAGAATCAGAAAAGGATTTATGGTACTTTTATATATTTGTTCACATTTTAAAAGGGGAGGCTGTTCGCTCCTATAAATATTTATAGTGTCAGAAACCCTATAGGATACAGTAAGTTTTGCATTAAGATGCTAACCACAACCACAAGGTCCGCAGTTTGAAATCACCATGTGCTCCTCGGGAGAAAACGAGGCTTTCTGATACCGGAAAGCGTTTCGGTCTTGGAAACGCACAGATGCAGTTCCACCCTGTCTCATAGGGTCCTTATGAGTCGGCATCATCTCGAGGGCAGTGAGGCTTAATGCGTCAGAGGGACTTGAGGACAGTGAGTTTTGGTTTTGTTACTGAAGCTCCCTGATTGGAGCTTGGCACTTCAATGTCTTTATTTTATTTGTAACCTTTATTGTGGTCTTCCTGCCTCCATCATTTTTTTCTTAGCCCCTTTATACATTTTTTATTTTATAAATTTTCGTTTATTATATTCTCTTTATAATAATCTTGCATGGCACAATGGAAGAAGCAGAGCTCCAGGCTAGCACCAATAAGCTTGTTAAGCACCAATTATAGTCAAGTATTTAACCACTTCATGACCGGTACTCCTTAATATATCCTGAGGATAATCTGTTGATTGAAAATCTTTCACTGTTTCAGAAACACCATTTTTAATCGTATCATGTAGATAATATATTTGCTATTGTGTGACTTAAGCAGATTTCTACTCATAGAGGACCATATATGATTGAATAGAGGACTCCATGGGGTTTCCTAGGCTATAATCTTTATGGGAGTAGACTGTCAGATATTTCCTCCCTAGGAGCAGCTGGTAGGTTGAAGCCTAGTTAACCTTTTGGTTAGCAACTAAGTGTTTAACCATCGTGTGCCAGAGGTCCTTACAGATTGTATGGAGAGTGGGTTTCAAGTAGACTGACCCTAGGGAATAGTCTAGAAGTTTTGTTTTGTGAATGTAGACACATGGCAAAGACTGTTGGTACTTTATTGGCCTTTAAAACATATTAAAGCTGTATGGTGGGCTCTTTTTCTTGGATTGAGATTCTTTCTCACGAAGTCATTCTCAATTGAGAGGCCACTGTCCAACAAGAGGCACAGCAGTAGGTTTTAGTAATAAATAATACATTATAAGAAGTGAATTTCTTGGAAATCAAATCACTATACCCTTAGTGATTTGATTTGTTCATTTAAATATATATATTGAGCACCTGCTAAGTGCCAGGTGGTGTACTAAGTACTGGAGATACAGTGGTGAGCAGAGCAGAGTAGGTTGCCTTATGCTTTCTTGGTTCAGGTACTTTGTATTTTTTTCATCTTATTTTCTTAAAATTATTTTCTTATTATTATTTTCTTAATTGAGAGTTATATCATATTCCATAGTTCAATCACATCAAGCCATTGTGTACAGTTGCTACCACAATCAGTTTCCAAACTTTCCATCTTCTTTTGATGCTTCGTACATCCTTCAGTATTTTGCCCATGGAATTCTTCAATATTATAACAATCAAAGCTTTAATTGTTTTCCATTATATGACTGGAGTAACTACGCTTGTGTTTGCTTTCTCCTACAAGAACTGGCTCATCAATATTACCTCACTCCAGTGTTTATTAAAAAACAAAACAAAACGACAAATGCTGGACAGGGCATGGAGAGATGGGAACCCTCATAGACCATTGGTGGGACTATAGCCCAGTGTAACCACTGTGGAATGTGCTGTGGCGCTTCCTCAGAAACTCGGGAATAGATGTACCAGACGACTCAGCAGTTCCTCTGCTGGATGCATACCTTGAGAACGAAGGCCTATGGCACAGTCGTGTGCACACCCATGTCATTGTCATATTACCCCCCATAGTAAGAGGAAGAAGCAAATACCCATCACTGGAACAATGGATAAATAGACTTTGGGACATACACACAATGCAGACCTTTACCCAGTGTTAAAGAATGGCGATGAATCTGGGAAAGCACCTCATGAATGACCCTGGAGGACAATTCATCAACCAGGAAAGGACAGATACTGTAGGAGACCACTGTTATTAAAATAAAAATTTTAAAAAGGTTTTCACAGAGCACACTTTGGTTTGACTAGAGTGGTGGTTCTCAACCTTCCTAATGTTGCGACCCTTTAATACAGTTACCTCATGTTATGGTGACCCCCAACCATAACATTATTTTTGTTGCTACTTTGTCACTATCATTTTGCTACTGTTATAAATCAGGCAACCCCTGTGAAAGGGTCGTTGGACACACACACACACACAGGGGGTCGCGACCCACAGGTTGAGAACCGTTGGACTAGAGCTACACATCGGATCGAAATGAAGCAGTGTGAGGAGAAAGGTAGCAATGAGAAGGGGAAGAAGACAGCGTGCCACCTAGGACATTGCTTCTCAAACATGAGCATTCATAGAAATCACTAGAGCCTCTTATTCAAATTATTTTACTTCAGGAAGTCTGAGGTAGGACTTGACATCGGGAATCTCCCACAAAATGTTGATGCTGTTGGTCTGCAGACATGCTTTGAAGAGTAAAACTAAGGGTTTTAATATTCCCAAACAGACATCCTGGAACAGAAGCTACTTGTATCGCTCCCCTTCGTTGCCAGAGAATTTGAACAGGCCAAGACTGAAGCAGGTGGTTGAATTCAAGGATAACCCAATACCAGATCAGGTAAAATAGAAGCATTATTCAGCCATAATATGTTTGGGGGAAGTAAGAACTTTTTAAGATGAGGGTGTATTAGTCTTTTAGCTTATTCTCTTCTATATCCAGGGTGAGGATTGCTTTAGTACATATCCTGTGTATCCTTCATTAGTGTTTCCATCATACCCATCTATCCTTTTGCTTTCTTCCCTCTTATATGGAGAGAGAATATTTAGCAGTAAATACCTATTATTATATTATAGTTTTGGAAATGATGTCATCATAGTTTCTTCCCAACTTTTTTCTTTTTTTTTAAAGACCTGAGAAGAATACAAGGGATTTTTGCTGTTTTTGTTAAAATAGACTTCAGCTTATAGTTATTATAGTATGCTCTGCCAGAAACATTTAATACTATTGCAAGGACTTGTAGAAATAGAATAATTGTTGATAGAACAATCATAGTAAGAGCAAACCTCCAAAGATTCCTTTGTGGGCCATACGAGAGCAACCAGAACCATCGGAGGAGACAGCCAGTCTTCCTTCTTATGTAGTCTGTTTCATTTGTCACACCTTCCCCAGACGGAGATCCCCCAACGTTTAAGCAATGGCAGCCCCGATGGTAAACAAAGCACAGAGTAGTGACTCAGGATTCAGCTGAATACGCCAGTGCGGAGCATTACTGATAAGGTCTTCCCCTTTCTGGGTCATGCATGCAACGTGTATCATTTTATTTGGAAAAGAAATGGACCTTCAATTTGATGAAGTAAAATTCGTTTCCAGTCAGGATTAACAATAGAATTCACTGATCTTCACCACTTTTTGTGAACTGTGAAGAAAACGATTATCAGTGGGATTCCAGCCCCAGCTAGAGTGACAATAAACTAGGACAGAAACACCTATGTTTTGGTTTAAAAGCTAAACAGATTTAGATCCACATCTGAGTGACCAAACTATACCACATACTTTTCAAATGGCAAAAATACAAAAAAAAAGCTAAGTGTTACAAAAATATTTCAGGAAAAGTGCAAAGTCTTAAATGTATTATAAACAAAAACACTTGAAAAGACCCATCCAAGGGTGAGGATAGTTACTGTAGGCTGAAATGCAACCTGAAACGTCACCATACTGCAGACTGGTTGGGTCGCAAACAACTCTGAAAAACTTACACTTTCATCCCCTTCCTCTCTCTTAAAAATAATCTTATGCCCTTTGTGTTGCGAAATTTAGACAAATAGAAAATGAAATTACGTGTAAAATATCCGTAATCCCAGAGGCTAGAGATGATTTTGACAACTATTAACACCCATATATCTAAGTGTTTTGTTGTTGTTTTTTCTCACTTTTTGGGGTCCAGGAATTTTTCTATGTAATTTTTTTTTCAATCACTTACTAACCTGGCATTACAAAGAACTTATTCTTTTCTGGGTTATTTAATTATAACAAACTTATTTTCATGTGAGTAAAATTAATCTGCAACATCTCCTTTGTTATCTTGTAGAATTGGATTTGTTTAACCAAGACTGTTATTTATTAATAAATTAGTAAATTTTCTCTATTATAAACATGCTAGAGTTTACCTTTATAGCTAAATCTCTCTATATATCTTTGTTTCTGTAGGGAAACAATCAGTCATTAAATCTGAAAGAATACTTTTTTTTTTGAGCCTTTACTCTCTCCATCCCTAATTTTTAAACCTTGTAACACAACAATCAAAGGGGTGCGGTCTTGTCCTTTTCAGGGCCTAGGTCTCAAGCAGACAGTCTCGCTCTCTAACATGAGTGTCACTCAAATGCTGGAGGATGATTCTAACCTGGGATATTTGATTGGTGATTTCTCCAAGGTAAGATTGGTTACACTCATTATTTTCCAAGGATCAATTTGGGATTTGGGCCATGTTTGCAGAAGATACTGGATATAATTATTTGTCATCATCAAATACTCTGATAACCTACAATGTTCTAGTGTTAAATTTAGTGACTAAGCCTTTTCAGTGGGAAAGAATTCCTTATTTCTTCATTATGAGATCATTCCAAATTCTGGGGGAACTAGAAGGCTTTTGGCCTTTTATTGTTATTGTTGTTGGGTGTTAATGAGTCCATCCGATGAATAGTGACCCTGACCCCATGTATAACAAACAGAATGAAACACTGCCTGGTCCTGTTCCAGCCAGCCACTGTGCCAACCTCTCTCCTTTAGGGGCTCCCTCTTTTTCCGCTGACCCTCCACTTTACTAAGCATGATGGTCTTCTCCAGAGACTGGTCTCTCCAAATAACATGTCCAAAGTACATGAGACACAGTCTCCCGTCTTGTTTCTAAGGAGCATCCTGGCTGTACTTCTTCCAAGACAGATTTGTCTTTCTGACAGTCCATGGTGCGTTCATTATTTTTCACTCACAGCGTAAGTCGAAGTCGTCAATTCTCCCGTGCTCTTTCTTATTCATTGTCCAGCTTCCACATGCATGAAGGGTTAAAAATACCATGGCTTGAGTCCAGTGTATTCTAGCCCTCAAAGTGACCACTTTGTCTGACACTTTAAAGAGAACTTTCATAGCAAATTTGCCCAATATAGTATACCCTGTGTGTTTAATTTGTGTTCAGAATATACACAACAAAACCATACCGATTTAGCCATTTCTACACATGCAATTCAATTGGTTTCATTATAAGGGTTGTGCAACTACTCTCACCACTAAAATGTTTATCTAGTCCTTTGAGTGATCACTTTGATCACACATGGATACTTCTTGGAAGAACAATGCTCAAAGCAGATTGGGTAAGCTAAACTACTGTTTGGTTTTAAGAAGATGTTAAGGGATTTTTTTAAAAATCGTTTTATTAGGGGCTCATACAACTCTTACCCCACAATCCATACATACATCGATTGTGTAAAGCACATTTGTACATTCATTGCCCTCATCATTCTCAAAACATTTGCTCTCCACCTAAGCCCCTGGCCTCAGCTCCTCATTTTTTCCTCTCCCTCCCTGCTCTCCCCTCCCTCATGAACCCTTGATAGTCTATTTGTTATTATTTTGTCATATCTTGCCTTGTCCAACGTCTCCCTTCTCCCACTTTTCTGTTGTCCATCCCCCAGGGAGCAGGTCACATGTAGATCCTTGTAATTGGTTCCCCCTTTACAACCCACCCTCCCTCCACCCTCCCAGTATCGCCACTCACACCACTGGTCCTGTAGGGGTCATCTGCCCTGGATTCCCTGTTTTTCCAGTTCCTATCTGTACCAGTGTACATCCTTTGGTCTAGCCAGATTTATAAGGTAGAATTGGGATCATGATAGTGAGGGGGTGGGAAGCATTTAGGAACTCGAGGAAAGTTGTATGTTTCATTGTTGATATTTTTGTTTTAAAGCTCAAAGATCTTTGGCAATGGTGTCAGAGTTTCATCTTTCATGGCTCTAGAAAATCTGGAGACAATAAGAATTTGAAATTCAATTTCACATTTTTCCCTTTTTGATCAGGCTTAGCTTATAGATTCTGTAATAAAAATGTTCATTAATGATAATGGGACTGTCTTTTATTTCATGACTACTGCTTCCATGGGTGTTGATTGGGGATCCAAGTAAAATGAAATTCTTTTTTTGCAAAGGAATTCTTATTTATTTATTTAAGCCCTAAGGAATTATATTCTTTTTAAAAAAAATCATTTTATTGGGGGCTCTTACAACTCTTATCACAATCCATACTTCAATTGAATCAGGCGTGTTTGTACATATATAACCCTCATTCTTTTCTAGACATTTACTTTCCATTGAGCCTTTGGTATCAGCTTTTATTTTCCACCCCCTCCCCACCCGCCCTCATAATCCTCTGATAGATTGTGCATTCTTATAATTTTCATCTCTCACACTGACCACTGTCTTCCCTCATGTTTTCTGTTGTTCTTCCCCCTGTAGAGGGGTGTATGGTTATGTGTCGATCATTGCGATCGGTTCCCTCTTTCTCCCTTCCTCTCTCCCACTTCCCCCTGCCCTTTTGGTATCACTATTCCCACTCCTGTTCCTGGATTCTGTGTGTCGTGAGCCCCCATCCCTTTCGATACCTGTGTACATGTTCCGGTCTAGTCTGAATTGAGAAGCTGCACTGGGTCATGGTAGTGGGGGGTGAGGAAACCTCAAGGAACCGAATAGAGTGTGTTTCATCTAAGCTTTACTGCACCCTGGTGACTCATCCCTTCCCTGTGGCCTCTCTGTGGAGAGATTGTTCTTTTGTCTGTAGATGGATTTTGGGTCTCTGCTCCAGCCCCCCTCGTTCTCAACAATATGTTTTTTGTTATGTGTCTGCTAGTGCCTATTACTCGGTCCCTATGACTCCTCATGATTTCACCAGCGGTGTGCTTCTTCCATGTGGACTTGTT